GAGCCATCGCACGGGACACGATCTGGGCGGCGGTGCGGCACTATAAAATGCCAAACGAGGGCGCGCTGTTCGACCAGTTGTACCCCCAGTAAGGAGACGAGTCCTTCGTGATCTTGCTACCGCGCGACGCGGGTGACAAGGCGGCGGCGCCGCCCTAGGGCCCGCTCTTCGAGCGGGGACGCGGGATCTTGCGCGATGTCCTGTGTGGGTTCTTCGGGACGGGCGTCTGCGAGGACTGACAAAAGATAATGGTCCGAGTGGCCGAAGCGAGTGGGGACCCCCACTCAGGGCCCCTCGAGCGCCTGCAGGGAGATGTCCATCGCTGCATTGGTTCTCGCCAAGCATGAGCGCACTGGTTTAGTGCGCGCAATGCGCGGGGAGGGCGGCCTAGCTGAGCTGGGGCTGTGGAGGCTTTGGCCAGCTGGGCCACGGCGACGAGCGGGGCCAGCTGCTGGCCAAGAAGGTCGAGGCCTTTGCTGGCCAGCGCGTCATCGCCGTGTCGGCTGGAACCCGCCACAGCCTCGCCATCACCGCCAACGGCGCTGTCTGGAGCTGGGGCTGTGGCGGTGGCGGCCGGCTGGGCCACGGCGACCAGGAGCGACAAAATCTCTCTCTCCCAGGAGCGCCAGTTCGAGCCCAAGAAGATCGAGGTGTGGGCGAGCCGACCGCCCACGCCTGCTTCCTCTGACGGCAGCGACGGTGGCGACAATGAATTGGGCGAGTAGGAAGCAAGGCGAGTAGCGGAGGAGAGCGACCGCCCGATTCTTTTCTTTTTCTGGCACCACGCGTTTTTCTTCATTTCCGCGAATGCATTTGCCGCTCGCGCGGCCCCGCTCGCCGGCCGCGCAGTGCACTGTCGGCACCGCGTCTCTCTCTGTGATCATCCCTGCGTACGACGAGGCAGAGAGGCTGCCGCGCACGCTCGAGGAGTCGCTCGCTCACCTGTCGACCACCCGGCGAGGCCCGTGGGAGATCATCGTGGTGGACGACGGCTCCCACGATTCAACGTGCGAGCTCGTCGCGGCGCGGCTGGCGGCGGAGCCGCGGCTGCGGCTCCTCTCCTCCGGCCGTGGGGCCAATCGCGGCAAGGGCGCTGGCCTCGCCGCCGGCGCGGCGGCGGCGCGAGGCGAGCTCCTGCTCCTCCTCGACGCCACGCCCCTTTCGGCGCTGCCCGCGCTCGAGCGGCGGGTGGGCGCGCGCGGCTGCGAGATGGCCGTCGGCTGCCGCGCCGCGGCTCTTGCCGCTCGGCCCGCCGCGAGGAGGCTGATGGGAGTCGTGTTTGCGGCTCTCGCGTCGACCTGCGTGCGGGGCGTGCCCGACACTCAGTGCGGGTTCAAGCTTCTCTCCCGCCGCGCGGCGCGCGAGCTCTTCCCGTCGCTGCAGATCCGCGGCTGGGCGTACGACGTGCAGCTCCTCGCCCTCGCGCAGGCGAGCGATTGCCCCAGATTGCCCGAGATTACGCGAGATCACCCGAGATCA